TTAACAGAAAACAATTATCAGTTGTCTGTTTTTGTCGAATTATAATAATTTACTTAGGAGCTTATAAGTTATAAGTACTTACTTATTATACATATTTTCTAAAAACTAGATAAATAATTCATATAATATATATACAATGTAATATAAATAATATATTTATATATATAATATATAATTCTCTTTAAATCAAAACGTTTAATAATTATACGTTTTGATTTAAAGAGTGCTGCCTGTTTGAACAAATGTATTGTTTTTATGTGATTTAGATTTGATTGTTATATTGTGTATAAAATATATACAACGATATTTACAATATTAATAATTAGTATACACATAATATACCTACTGTAAATATTAATATTTTAGATTTTGAAAACATTTTTTTGTTTTTTTTTAATAACGAAATCAAACTATATTCATCAACCAAATATATGTAATATTCCATCTAGCTAGCCGATGGTACATTTCAATTTTTATTCATGTTTATGCATAACAAAATACAATTAATGAGTCACTAAATAATATATAACATACTATACACATATTATAGGTATATTAGATATTAAATAGGTGCATCAACAGGCTCAACTCGTACATAATAGTAGTATTATGCTATTATAAATAATAATTAGATATTATTAAAATAATTTTTTTAAAGATACCTACCTATACATAATTAATTATTTTTTATGAACATTTTGAGATTAAAGATAATCATTTTTAAAATAGTTTATTATATTATAATGTTTATGTTCATAAGAAATGTTAAAAACCTTGTGTAAGTACATCTCGGATTGTTAACAGAAAATATATTTGAAAATGTAGGTGGAGTTGTCATCATTAAACAATAGTTAGTGTGGCCAACATATTTTGTAAAGATAAAGGCATAAACGTCGGTACGTGACGGTTGCACTGACATGAAGTGATTATCGTCCATTTTATTTATGAACGTGATCTCTTGATCTTGTTTGTTCGGCTCGTGGAAGTATGTGTGTAATTCAGGGTAATGTAATGTATTTCTCGATTTAACTGAAAAGGTAGAGGCAGTAAAATTAAATGATTTTTTTTTGAACGATTACCTGTTACTATATTATAATTTCGAGTTATATCTATTAATTCTATTAGGTACCCCCATTATTATGAATATAATATAAAAAATATGATAATATGTTTTAAGTTCTAAACCTATTATTCAAACTAGTTCAAATTAAATATAATGTTGTTCACAATAACTTTTATTTTTTTTAGTAAATTAATTTTTTTTTTGAATTTAGAACTTCTTTCTGTTTAGTAAAAAAGCCCAAAATGTTGATCGTATCCTTGTTTTTTCAAAAAATATTTATTTGAGCTACCAGCTATAGCTTTTGTAGCAATTATATCATTGGTTTAATATTATGGTATAATATTATACCTATTTAATAAAAATATAGTGAAATATATGTTCTTTATAATTTGGCTATATAATCTCGGAAAATTCCCTATTTGTAATGAAAAATTGGCTACAGCTAAGTGATAAGTGTCTAATGTATTACCTATGTGACAAACGTTGAATAGATCTTGTAAGTGTAGTTTTAATTATATATTTATATAATATGTCATGAGTTTAATTTAAAATTATTTTTTGAATCCGATGATTTATCATTACTTTCAAATTTATTAAATATGACAGTTACATACTTATGGAACGATTATATTATTATGTACCAGGTACATTTTACTTATATTGTCATAAATAAATATTTTTTTTATGGAGAACATTATAATTTTTAATAAAATGTTTTTTAAGTCAAAAATTAATTTTGCCGTTATTTTAATTAATTTATCGAATAGCAAAATTAAAAAACATAAAAAAATATATAAATATTTTGTTTTCCACGTTGTTATGTATTTTTAATGTAAGTTGATATGTCAGAAGATTGTAGATCAAATATAAAATGTGTATCCACTTTATTGGCTAGAATTTCCTAATCTTTTTTATTTCACGAATCGTCTCTTTTAGATTTTAAAAATACTCACCCTCTCAAAAAAATCATTTAAAATCCAATTTTTTTAGAGTTTAATAGTAAAAAATAAAGTTATAACATATAATAGGTACCTATACTCAGCGGAGATTACGAATGTTTAACAAATAACTGGCAATTATTAATTTTTCGTTTTTCCTCTCGTTTATGTAAATAATTTTTAAAAGATTTACACCATCATGATTACTCGAGTCTTACTAGAAATAAGTTTGTGCCCCTCAGGTCAGCAATTACTGGCGCTAGTCAGACCTCATTCCGAAGTAGGTAATAAACATCACCTGTACTTATAGCCATTATGAAATTGAATTTGACTTGTGGTAGGTGTTCAATATCAGAATCATACAATGATTTTAAAATGTCGCCCTTCGCACAATAATTATCATTGCATATCGGTTTGAAGGGAACAACACTATAAACATTCATGACTCATTATATTGTGTTGCCGATTCAGCCTACTTCAACCTGCGTCCTGCAGTCATGGAATTAATCATCAAGTTGTTCTCAAATATGAGATAAAACAGAGCGACACTACATCCAGCAGCCATTCAATAGCTACTAGACAACTCAGACGACGTTAGACAGCTTAAGAACAGGAATAATTTTAACGGGAATTTAGCTTCACAAATGTGTATATTTATATCGATTATATGACTTAGATGTACCAAAATATTGTGAATCATTTTTATAAAGGTATCAAACATAGTTAAAATATTAGTTCAATATAAAAAAAAAATTCACTTTGATTACCTACCTATAATTGTTATGGTGGATACAAATTGATGTATGAATTCTTCGTCCTAGTCGTTTGTAGAATCAATCCAAATTTCAATACTGAAATAAATATTTAGAATTTATATCAAACTCAATTAAATATTTTACGTAGATACATAATATTAAAATAAGATAAAATATTGTATTTACTGTATGTTACAAACAATATTATATAAATCAGATCAATATATAATATACATTATAGGTACATATATGTAATATGTAATAGAATACGCTGGAAATCATAATTCCATTGCTAATAATATGACCTTAAAAATATACATATCTTTAATAATTTCAGAGTAAAGTTATAATTGCTTGAATTGTATAAATTATTGGACAAATTAACCAGAAATAATTCACATTCTTTATGAAATGATTAATCATAATCAATAAATCCAGTGAACCGGCTAAACCTGCTACTTTAGCCAGCTATAATAGACTATAGTTTATACTTCTATGTGTCGCATAAAAACATAATTACAATGATGCCTATGATATTCATGACACATAAGCCGTAACTTATCATACCATATAATCGTTTGTAACAAGTATATTGTTAATGCCATGACTTATGAGTTATGAGTTATGAGTATTACATACACATACTTTTAATATACCTACATTATTTCATTATAGCCAGTACATACTACATATTTTATTAATTTATATGCTATAAACTGTAAAGACATCATTCGTTTTTCAACGTTCAAATTGTATCTACTATTTACTATAGTATATTTATTATTTTATATACCCAATTTTTTTATTTTATAAAAGGCACATTCCTCGTTTGTATTAATTTTTATTTTACCAATAGTTTTAAAGGGTTTAAATATAAAAATAATATTTTTTGATGAGAAGGTGAGTAATTTTTTTCTATTTCATGTTTGATACAATAAATACTAATATTCACTACGTCATTACGCATAAACTGTACATACTATTCGATATCGTAGTAAATTAATCTATAATACACTATTCACATATTAATAAGTAGGTACATTAGTATATTATTACGTTGGTATAGGTACCTAAAATAGGTAACTTTTTACATAATAAGCATTTTTTTAAAAATGATTATGTACCATAAGCATAAAATAATTAGTAAAATAGCTAATTATAACACAATATTCTAATTAAGATAACATTTAGACTATTAAAATATCTATATATACCTATATAAGATATAATAATATGTTTTGAACCTATAATATATATTTATATTTATAATGGCAAGTATTACGCTACCTGTACCTACTTTAAAGTCCACCCAGATTGTATTATAGTATAACAAAAATGAAACAAAATTTAAACTTCGGTTAAACACTTTTTTTCATTTAGATATGGTTGTGGGCAAGAGTATACATTATTATACACGCATTTGTTGTCGAAACATGTATAAATAATGCTTTAGAATTATTTAAAAGCGGTTTTGCAGTGTAAATAATACTATCCTTGAAGTCAAAGTAATAATATAAACTACGCTTCAAAACGTACAGTTGAATATTACTATCTTTGGAAATAAGTAACTATACTATTTAGTTATCTAGTTATATAATATTCTTATTTCTTTAAAATTACCACCGGCGTTTAAATGAAATAATATTAGTTAATAGTTATTATCCATTTACAAAACATTAAGTGACATTCCATATGTCAAAGTTATTCGTATTTCGTATAATATATGTACCAGGTACCTCTATTTTATTTTATTTCTATGAATACATTTTTTATTAGGTATGGAGCGTTTCCTTCAAAATAATCTATAATAAATATAAATAGGATATTTCATAAATAATTTACATACATTCAAATGCAAGTAATATGATGTTTTGCAGATTTAACATTTTTTCACCACTTGTCCAAAACTTTGTAGCATAATGTATTATATTATATAGGTAAGGTAACACATTATTGATTTGTTGTTAATTATCAATATTTAGGCCTTAAGCATTATATTATCATTATATTCGCGCAGAGCACATTTTCCTCCAAGACCATAATATAATTATAATACTATAGGTAATTTGTTTATATTTCCATCATCGTTATTTGTGCGTAGTCCATATAGCTGTCAAAATAATTTGATAGCGTGTTTAGAAGGATATTTCGTGCGCCGAACAAACGTGGTAAATTTGTATTCGGATGGGAATGAAAGGACTGCAGCGGACGCATAACGCATTATAATATTCATATACATAAAAGATGAAAGACGAAATGGTCGGAATCAACTTCCTACCTACACTCACGGTGCAACATCAGCAGCAGCCCTTACGAGTTACGTCGCCACGAGGACCGCACAGGTTCTTTGATCAGGCGCTGGACACGCGTAAGCCGGGCGGCTCTACGATTGCATTCCATTCACCGCCGTCTGCAAACATTACACGCACGGTAAAAACGTTTACGACCAATAAAGAGCGATTTCGAAAAGAAAAAAAAACATTATATTATCTCTTGATGACATTGAGGTGTCCGCTCGGACGAGGCCGACTCAGTAAATTCATCAATCTCCAAGTCTCGGGGTATTTGTTTCTTCGAACTTTATGGCCGACCATTAATCACGGCCGAGAGTTCTATCTGGCTTCGGAGATCGGGCACACGCTATAAACGCTCTGGTTTTATTATTTATTTATTCTTCTTTATTTGACTTTTCAATATCCCCCCGCTACTATATTTATATTAAATTATTACCACGAGATTCTTTTTATATTTTTTCATTTCGTTTTCTCTCTAAGTTTTTTTTTTACATCCACTACAGCATAAACTCACACACACACACTTACACACTTACACCGAAGTTAATTTAATGCGACTAGTGCCTCTATTATAATAATAATAATAATAATGCGTGAGTATGCTGTGCGGGAGGCGGGAGATGGGACTAGGAAAAAGGAAGAAGAGAAGGAGACGGAGGACACGTATAGAAAAATAAGACGAAGGAGAAGCAGACAGATAAGAAAAAGAAGAAGAAAAGAATCGAGAAACGACTACGACCGGGGGAAAGGAAAAAACAACGGGTTTATAAATTATAAGTGCACAGTAAAAACTCAGGTATGTCTATTAATACTAAATAAGACAGAGAGAAAGAACCAGCAGCTGTATGCAGTGGCGTGGTGAATGGGGTTTTATGACGCCTAGGCGTCATGGTGAATTTTTTTTTTTTGGGGTGGGGTGGTTGGGTACATTATGGTAACCAATAACATACAACAAAAAATTAAAATATTTACAGTTCCATAATAATTATATGTATTATATATTATATTAAGGGGATAAAGAAGGGGTAGGTACTGAAATATATGCTGGGCATCAAGATTTATAAATGTTCACCACGCCACTGGCTGTATGTATATATATAATATACATTATGTATAAAGTATTAAATATAATAAAAACCTCTTCTGCAGTCTTCACGTAATAAAACCTCGAGACTGCTAGTCGCCGTTTAACGCGTGCACACCACGGACAACCCATCGTCGGTCGCCCGGCCGCACCACAAACGGATTAGGTATAATCCGTGGTCGATCATTATATTATCTTCACGTACATAATATACTGAGTTAATATTACCTCTTTTGCTGGTCTGACGAAAAAAAAACAATCTTGCATGGCAACCTTGTGCAGTTGTATATACATAATATTGTTCCGTGTGAATGCTCAACACGATTTATGTCAATCATTGGCCTCTGTATATAGGTAATATTATACTCTACTTGTGACATATTATATTTGGTTGTTGTTTATTGGTTAATGATGGTAATATACTAATATATACCTACATCTCTTACAATTCTACATAAATTAAATACCGTGGAGCTTATATTTGGACAACATAATAACCTAAAAAGTAGCAGCATCCATGATCCAAGTTACAGCATAATGGCGACAGGCATTCTCACAACTCTCAATCAGATTATACATCAAGTATCTATCTTCATTAGTTGATCAAACAATTTTTAAATAAAGTCTGCACTGGTTCACTCATCACTCTTGTTGAAATTACATAATTGTGTTTTAAAATGAAACCCATTAAAAATTATAATAACTATAGTAACAATGTATTTTTTTTACACGATTTAAATGTATGTAATTATGTCTTATACAGTTGTCAGTTACACTTAATTTGTAGTGTACCAATAAAATGTAAAAAATCCATTTAATATACAGACTGAAAAATATTTAAATTGATTAGTAATTGATTTCTATTAATATATTAGGTTGAACTATATTTTTTTAAAATACAAATCCTCATCCATCTAAATATTTTAAATAACAATAGTCCCTAATCATAGAATTATTTCATATAATATTACCTATTAGCGTGTTATTAACTTATATTATAAGTACATAATATTATGTATATAGAATGGTAGTGTGACAAGAATGGGAATTCTACGTTTAATATTTTAAAAATAACAAAATAACGAAAATCAATAGAGGATATATCGTTATTATGTCATAAACATTTTAGCTTCAACCATTCATAAGAAATATATGAGGCTTCACGCTAATTTATTTTTTAATTTCCAGAAACGTATGAGGAATCTTATATTAAACTTTAAATCTATTTTAATCAAAAACAAAAATTTTATTTTAAAATAAATCGCAAAAAATTAAAACTAGTAGTGTAGGCATATAACACACGTGTTAACTGATTAGTGATTTTTATTTAATATTTTATACCGGCTAGGTAATTATAATAAAGAGTGGCCATAGCATTAAATAAACAGAATGCCTACAACCAAATATATTTTTAAATTATTTTTGATAATTTTGAGTAATTTATATGTATTATCATGGATCAAGACCTAACAAATAATGAAAAAAAAAGTATTGAATTCATATTATTTTTGGACTGTATCAACAATTTAGTAAGTTATTAAACACAGCATAATCTATCTCTATGGTATAAATGTTTAATGTTACATGTTTTTAAGGAAGCTTCTCTCAATTTTCCTATAAATTTCAATGTATACCTTGAGTTTCATGGCAACTTGTTGAGTGTAGGAGATGTAATCGTTACTCTGATGGATATTGGTGGAAAAATTGATTTAGAAGTTCCTTTGAAATTCCCTTTGGATGAAATTGTGGAATACAACAAGTTTGCTTCTCATCCCATGCTAAGTAACTGTTATACAACTTATGTCTTATACCTAAATTAAAATATCTTTATTAGGTATATATATATATATACGATGACAATTTATAACTCATTATATTAACTTCGTTATCATGAGTTTAACTTTAAAAGTTCATAAAGTTTATATTTTACACTAAATAAATACAGGCAGCTCATAAAATGTATCTAAAAAAATAAACAGAAAATGTACAAAAATATGGATCATTTAGACAATTTATATAAACTTAAATATAATTTAAAAAGTCAGACAAGTCACCTACAGATACCTGCAGTTTTCGATGGTGTTTCTTTATGATGCTCAACATTTATATAAACAATTGAAAAAATTAGAAAATAGTTTATTCAAGGTCTAGGCTGTACCAATATATGATTTGCATTACTCACAATCTAAAATAAATTAAACTAATAGAATATAAATGTGTTAAGTACCTATTTATATAACTTAATATTTTTTTTTCTAAAATGTTAAACGATGCTTTAAATTTAATCTTTAAAAACATTTTTTATTATTTCTCTAAGTCTTATTTATTCATATTTTTAAAATTAAAGTATTACAGTTTTTGATTTATATTATCATGAAGTAATGAGATACCGTAATTTTCAATATTAACAATATTATGATGTATACTCAGAATGAGTATCTCGATAATTTACCATTATCACCAATAAAAGTTATAATTACAACAGAACAGTAATGACTTTGCAAAAGATGATTTGGGGAGGGGGGATGGGCCTAGATGTGCAGCCGTGCAGGTTATTTCTAGGCACCTCCTGACAATTTAAAATTAGGGCCCTAGAAGTTAAGCCTAATTATCTGTTGATCTTCAACAAAAAACATAATGATAAAAAAAAATAATAACAAAATGGTTCCGTATTATTATAAAATAATGTAGGTACCTAACATAAAACATTAAGCATTCTACATTTGTGTGTAAAAACCATCGTTCATATTATAATAAGAGAAGTACCATGATCCAAAACCTTTTGGAATCATTAATTCTTCTATTTACAAAACAATAAATGGCTCCAAATGTTGATTTCGATTTAGCAATAAACGAATTTGATAATTTAAATAATAGGCGTCTGGCGTTATACATTTGTAGGTATAGGTATTACACTTAATATTGTTATTATTATCATTATGATAATTATAAAATAATATATATCATAGTATTTGTTATATACATTGTACCAATAAAATCGTTTAAAAGAAAATTAAATTAATACCTATAATAGGTACATTCATAATAATTTATTATGGTTACTTGTCTTGTTAGGAGAGATCAAAATTACTGTAGGCGCCACCTGTAGTTATTCGGATATGGGCACTCCTATAAAGTGCAAATTAAATAATTATCAGCTGCTATATTTCTCTGTCAACTTTCTGCATAGGTGTTATCAATAATAAATATGTTATGATTAGTACACTTAAGTGTTTTATGAGTTGTAAAGAATAATCAAATTAAACAAAATATATAGAAATAAATAATGACATTTTGTAATAAATAATAAGTCATAAGAACCAAATATATTTATGGTATATAAAAATTAATTTTTTACAAAAAAAGTGGTGTAGAAATTTATAATTTCTAATAATTAATAATTTATAATTATAAATTAATAATTGCATCGTACATCATATATTTGTAAAAACTAATATATCGTTATATTATATTATTGACTATAGGCCATAGCCAACAATGAATTATTTTTTATTTTTCCAATATTTTTAATTTTTAAGTAGTTACTCTTCAGACTTTGTTAGTACTCCGAATACTTTTTAATTACTTTTTTTTTGAAAGTGTTCAATGCGGTATTTTGAATACTTTTTACAAGTATTCTGAGTACAGTATTCGGAATACTTTTTTCTTATATAAGTATAATTTTATATATTACTAATTATTATTTATTAATGATATTGATTTGAATATAATTTATAACTAATAGATAGCCAGATAGGTGTGTATTTTCGAGATTATGATAATGTTAATTTATAAACACAGAATTGAAAAAATAATATTTTTGCTATTGAAATCTAAATCTACTGAAAAAAGTTTTTGAAAAATATTTGGAATACTTTTTGTGAAGTATTCCAAATACTTAGGAATATTATTATCATAAAGTATTCGAATACATATTCTAAATACTTTTTTTTTAAGTATTCGGAATATGTTTTTAAAATACTTTTAAAAAGTATTTTACTCAAGTCTGGTACTCTTATAATAATTGGTTAGTAGTTACAATATTATATAAGTATTAACTAATTTGTTTTAATTTGGTTTTTTAGTTTATTTTGAATCACTGACTGAAATTGAACAAACCCCTCTAAAATTAACAAGCAATCAAAAAAGCGATATTAAACAGACTTGGCTCTGCATCGTGGACTTGTTGCCTTTGGTGTATGGTAATAAATCATTAAAATTGAAAAATACACAATATATTTTAATTTTTATCCACTTGATAGGTTTAACCAAAAATTAAGATTTTTTATATTAAATATTATACTTTTTTCATGAGCTTCTATAATCATAACTGTTTTAACTCAACAAATAACAATATTAGAGTACCTACCTACACTCTATACTCTATACTCTGCAGTACATAATACATATTATAAACGAAGTATTATATTGTTCATGGGTGTTAAGTATGACTAGACAGACAGATAATATATAATAATATATAATATAATATATAGCAGTATATAATATTAATTAAATGAGTGTTTTATTTGAGTGGCACAATATAATATGCAGTCCTGTAAAGAATACTTTTGAAAAGTACTTGAGTAAGTACTCAAATACATTTTTTTTTAAGTATTTAAGATACTACTCAAATACTTTAATTGTATAGTATTTCAAATACTACTCAAATACTTTGAAAAAGTATTTGGAATACTTTTCAAATACTTTTGGTTTTTAAAGTGGGTTTCTAATTATTATTGTAATGTAGACACATAGGTAGTAAATTTATAATCATTTTTATTATTATTTATTAAATAAATGTTTATTACATTTTTTTTTTTTATTTTTACATGAAATTTACAATCGGTTCTTAACTAGAGCAATAAGCAAATGTGCATAGGGTATTTGCGTATGGTTTTTTTTTTTTGAGGGAAGAAACCACCCATTGGTGATACTACCTATTTTGTGTTCTTAATTCATTCTAAAATTTCTAAAATTATTTCGAATAAAAATAAAATGTTCGAAATAAAAACCAAAGTATTCAATACCAAAAAGTATTTAATACAAAAAAAAGTATTTAAAATACCATTCAAAATACTTCATGCTGAAAGTATTTAAAAAGTTATTCAATACTTAAAAAAGTATTTGAATACTTTTACTCAAATACTTTTACTCAAATACTTTACAGGACTGATAATATGATATAGGTACCTATATCATGCAATAGTATTCTGACTGTGCGCGTGAAGATAAATATGCATGTAATCAGTGCTCTAATTGGTATATTATGTACCTATATTATAAAAGAGGAACTTAGCTAATTAATAAAGAAGCGTTTTACAAAGACATTTACATCATGTCTCCATTCTAATTTGGTAACTATAGGTACCTCCAAAGCACCACTTTAACATTTATTGAATAATGCTCTAATAACTAATGCATACCTACATATAAATTACAAATAATAATCAATGAAGATGTTAACTTTGAATCCATAAAGGACATTTAAATTTCATGAATTTAGTTATCTAGGTATCGTATTTAAAACAATAATTATAGTATATTATTATAAAACCAAAAACAAATAGAATGAGGTGTTATACACTCCATTGGCTATAATTGGTTAAAAATACGATGTTTTAACCATGTTAAGCATTAATATGTGATTTAATATTAATATATTCGTAATCGTAAATCGATCGTTTATGGATTTAAAAAAGGCAAAAATAAAACGAGAAAAATAACAAAAATGCTTGACGATACCAAGAGTTTAGCTATACCTGCTTATTATTATTGGTGTCACCCATATAAGGTTACAATTAGAGATCATAATCTTATTACCTAGTCTCTTCAGCTACAATACTATTATAACCAGAAATATAAAAATAATTAACTAGTTTGCTGACTCGCAATAATATGTGAAGTCATAATCTGCCATTTTTGTGAGAATTATGGGTGTTCTGACAAAACATACAAGCCATTCTTGCCTATCATAAAAAAATATATTTGTAGGTACACACATTTAATGCATTTATTTGTATGTACACATTTGTTATTGATAATAGATACACTAATTCTCATTCCCCGCAAATATGGTTGCAAATTACAGGGTAGTTAATTTTAATAATAGGTGACGAGCGTACAGCAATATAATTTATTATCCATACCCATCTGTGATTATAACATAATATTATAATGTAGAGATGGGTCGTTCGCGAACGAACTAGTTCAATTGAACTATTCACCCAAGTGAACGATTGGACCTAGTTCACTAAAAGGTGAACGACATCGTTCACCACTGAAAATCGTTCACCTAATGAACGACGTAAAACGACAAAACGACGAACGAAATCGTTCATTCGTTCATTCGAGAAAAACTTTTTACCGAAACGACAAAATGGTAAATATAATATAATTTTCGCTCGTTCAATCGTTCATTTCATCAAACCCCATGGGCCATGAGCATGAACATTAGATAACATTATCTAATACCTATTATATATAATATTATCTCGAACCGTCACTTGTTAGTTGTTCAAAATTAAAATGTTACCTATTGGCTTTTACCAAACTATAAAGCATATAGTTATTAATATTATATTATAATATTTTATATATTAAATACCGGTACTACATTTATTAGTAGGAGATATAATTAAATAATCTATTTTATAATCAAATTCTGTCTATTTAAAAGGTCACAATCCATTATTCTAGGTCAGTATTTTACTTCAGAACTTTAACACATTACCTTAACCATTTTCAATATAAGGTACCTATTACAACAGGTATTTATATTTTGTAATTTGTAACTTAGTAGTAGTTTTCTATAATAATAAATAGGATTCTTGTAAGTATAAAACAAACAATTATAAAAACCCGAGCTTGGTTAAAGCTTGTATACATGGTATAGAGACTATAACAATTAAATTCAAATATTTTTGAATATATTTTGATACTACTAAAGACCTTAAAAAAATATATATAAATAAATAAAAAGTACAGAGAGTACTATTTGTCAAATGTGGGCATTAACTTGTTAAAAAGTTAAAGTTAAGTTAAAAAGTTAATTTTTTACACAGTGTTTTTTTACCCCCCGCCATTTCGTCCCCTAATAAAAATAAGCTCACGGACGTTTCGTCCCCATCTATTATTAAGGTAGGACATTTGGTCGCCGGGAGTTCATATTATCGACGTTGTCGTCGTCGTCCCGGGGGCCAAATGTCCTGTCACAATAATAGACGGGGACGAAACGTCCGTGGACTCGCTTTTTTGAAGGGGACGAAACGTCCTTTTACCTAAAATACTATGGTGGCTTATGACTTAAAAATATTCTACCTTCAAAAAAATTAACTTTTTTTTAACTGAGATAAGTTAGTTTTATTTTCTATCTTAACTTTTAACTTAACTGAAGGCAATTGAATTGAATTAACTTAACTTTCAACAGTTAATTATTTTCATTAACATGCCCACCATTGCTATTCGTATGGGACATGGGTTATGTACGTATTCTTTTAATGAACTAGTTCAATTAAGCAAGTGAACGACGAACGATGAACTATACGTATTCGTTCAATTGTATGATGAACGATGAACTATACGTATTCGTTCAATTGCATGATGAACGATGAACTATACGTATTCGTTCAATTGAATGATGAACGATGAACTATACGTATTCGTTCAATTGCATGATGAACGATGAACTATACGTATTCGTTCAATTGCATGATGAACGATGAACTATACGTATTCGTTCAATTGCATGATGAACGATGAACTATACGTTCAACTGTACGTCCGTACAGTATATGTTTAGACGTATCGTTCAATGAACTAGTTCGGTGAACTAGTTCAATTAAGTGAACGATGAACGAATGAACTAGTTCACCTAAGTGAACGATAAATCCCATCACTATTATAATGTACCTACCTACGATTACAATACACACATAATATTATGTGAACTCATCGTACACCATACTCGCATATAGATGGCACTAGTAATGAAGCGGAGACACGTGTCAAGGTGTGCGGACAGTATCCGTTGAAGGCGATCGGTGAACGCAATCAGAATTTGCTGTCGGAAGCTGCGCACCTGAACGCGACCATATCGTGTCCGGCCGGACTGAGTCGGATTGGGTCGAGTACGCCAAACAACGTGCTGAACATCACCATGCATGGCCTATACAATCCATCGTTGAACGACCATCGGCGTCGAAATCGAGGCTCGGACACCACGTGTTCGGCCATATTGCACGTACCCTCAGCTATCGACTCGGTAATAATAATAAATTAGCAATAACACCAGCTAACAACATTTGGCGCGCGCCTATCATCATTCGAATAATATATATTATTATATAAATGGGTATAATATGTATACGTCATGACGTCATTATATTCGTTACTTCTTAAAAATGTAAACGTTTTATTTCTTTATTCGTAGCGTAATATTACATTTGAACACATTATGTAGGTAGATATATATTATTATCGTTTTTACGACTAGGATGAGAAGAGACCCACTCCGGTTTTGCCTGGGCACGACGCGAATAATGTTACGTACCTACCTCTATATTACGTTCGAGGTATTATTATTCGAGCATTATTGGACAGCGCCGATATAATAATAATAATAATAATATTATAATATAGCAGTCATAAATAAATTCGGTTGGAATTTTTTTTTATTATTACTTTTTTTTCTCCAGAAAACTGTCTCGTGCTATAAATTTTGCCAAAAAACAAATACGCCCGTCGTAAAATATACCGACAACCGCTCAGCATGAGTTCGTTTATCGATTTTTTTTTTTACTTTTTTCAAAAACGGCCCACACGCCGCCGCCGCTGCCGCTTGTTCCATGGCGGCATTGCATGTATGATGTACATGTCATATGGATTCCTAATGTATTCACAAATTCTACTTCGAAGTGTTTATATAACATCTGAAAACTAAAGCCAATCCGATAATATACTAGTATATTTTTTGTACAAGATATCATATTTTGAGAAAAAGTTTAATTTCTTTATTGAATAAATTCTGGATTATGATGTATGATATAAAATTGGTACGTATTCCATACGTACAGCTCACTCAATAACTTGTTAATCTCGAGTCTTACCATCATAATGTTTAGTAATTATTGAATACTTAATTGTAGTAGGTACCTACATGAAAATTTGAAAGATTAGACTATCGGTTAAATAGCAATTATCTATTGCTATTATTATTGATTACAGCCTTTATATCATACTAGCTGACACGGCAATGAGTTCCTATTGCTAGATTTTTATGATTAGTATGGGTGAGACCGTTTTCGACCAAAATAGTACCATTCCCTTTTCGGCCAAAACAAAAAGTTCAATATTAATTAATATTAGATAGGTGCTTTAGGTCTTTATGTTCTACTTATAGAAAATTATTAAATATATATTAGGTATACCTAAGTTGTATAAAAAAGTACCTATTAATAAATAAATAATAATTTTAACAGTACCTATAAAATTGTTGTCATTAATTAATATAATAGTAATTAGTATAATATATTATTAAATAATATAATAGTATATGATGTTTGTAAAATTATTGAAAGTATAAGTTGCATAAAATTTGTAAAATATATAAATAAAATATAGTTATAATTATAATATATTTAAATAATGACAAATTCTGACTTAAACTTTTAATAATTTTCAAAATTATATTTGTAATATATATATTTATAAGTTATGATTCTGTCGGCAATACCAAATAAAATATGAATTATTATGTTTATATATGTTGTTCTGTTAGTTATGTTATGTAAGAGTACCTACCTACTACCTATTGATAAGTTCTATGATAACAGAGTTCTATACTTAATATTACTCATCGTACTTTGAAAAGTATTTATGAACCAGAGTCAAAAAATATATAATTATAGTAGGTGTATTCTAATTTCTAACATTACCAATACTAGAGAAATAGATTCTGTCACCAACAAAAAATTACTGGCTACAACACTGGACACTGATGTATAATAATTAATAATATACAGAATATGAGTGTTGCACTAGTAAAGTATACATCTGAACAGCGTATAAAACTATATCATCTTATTAAATATTAGTAATAAGTAATGACATTGTCATAGAATAATAAATGTAAAATTATGATATATGGCGTCCATGTATAGGTATAGCCGTATAGGTATAGGTATGTGGTATGTATATACAAATGTATACTACTTAAATTAGTTCATATGTCAAAAACAATAAACTAATAAAAGTAATAAATTAAAATCAATGCCACCAGACCCGGGTGTACAGAGCGTGTGCAATGTGCATCATATAATATGGCCATTTATATATTTTGAAGGGCCCATTAAACGATTTACCACTCAAAATTCTCACAAATATGGAATTTTTAATTGAAATAAAACAATTTATGTATAGAAAATTATAAAACGTGATGAAATGTTGTAAGAATCGAATATATTTTGTAGTGTACAATTGATTTCAAAGACTAAACTTGTTTGGATATTAAACTGTTTTAAAAATTACATTCTTTGAACCAACACTTTAGTTCCGACTTCGATATGGTTCTTAGCACCTATCGGAAACAAAAATGTCGATTATGGTTCTTCAAGTTTAAAACCATAAAGCTTTTGACATGGAAAAATGCATATTGGTCTCAAAATATCAGTTTCGATTAGGGTTCTAAAATACTTAAATAAGGGTTCTATCGAGCTTCCAGTTATTTAGATTATGATTCCAATTCCTGGTTTACACTAAGTAGTAAGTACCTAGTATAAATGGGAACTGTTATTGAATACGGGTTGATACCAATCAATTATTAAGTTTTGCAATTGATCTCTGATATCAATATGCATATACTCATCACAGTTGTTTGCTTGTATGTCATATAATAAAAATAATTATGATGCAGGAAGAAGCTTACTTGCTTAACTATCCATCATACTAATCCGTGGCACATAGCTTGTATGCTTGTATACATATTAATATATTATATATAATACATATTAGAAATACTTACATCGATAACACAATCATTATGTTCAAAGTTATATACTATCATACTGAGTTATCTGATGACTATTAAGATGTTAGATACATAACCTATATATTAAAATATTATATATATTTTATATATACATTTATTTATTTAGGAAATCCATAGCTCCGTATTTGAGAGTGGCACGTACACGGACGTAACAAGGGACGTAAACGATCTGCGATGGTTCAGCTTGGATAACATGCCGGCAACCGTATCCACCACGGGTCAGAGGTGCGTAATCACACTATTCCCACGAATTCACGTGTTTGGCCACTTGAAGCCGATCTGCGGTAGGTAAAATAAAATATATATACCCAACAACCAAACAAAACGAAAAAAAAAACGGGTAGGCTCCACTTAAGACAGACACACAGTATAATATTATATTATATTATGTATACACGTAAAGACAATAGAGAGGAGTTTATTCAAAACAACGTATACACTAAACAATAATATATAAATATATGTATATATGTATATGCTCCGTATATAGTGCTGCCACGTCATTTCGACGTCTTGTGATTGTTGTACAGTAAAAATCCCATAGACGATATTTTGGTGTCTAAAAATGTTCCCAGATCGATACAGGTGGTCCGAATTAAACTCAAGAGCTTCGTTGGCGTGCGTGTGTATAGCGAGATGTTGAAAATGAAATTGTCTCTTTTATAATAGGTTTGAGGAATACAATGGTGTAGAGGTGAATTCGGCGAAAATTCCCAATCCAAAAGACGTACTGTTCAAAGGGCCCAGATTCGAATGGAATCTATGGAACCGATTTCTCATGAACGAAATATCGTCATATGCATTACAAGACTTCATTTTCAAGTACCGACGAGATATATTCTTAATTATAACGGAGTTCTGTTAACAGTATCCCAGGAAAAAATATCTAGAGCTAAAAACCGTTCCAACATTTTTTAAAAAGGAAACAATATACTATATAATAGTTAACAACAGTATCCTTTACTATTACCATTGATTATAAATACTATACTAGTATTTATAATCAATGCTATTACTAGTATTACCATCTAAGTATAATATTGTAGAGGTAGCTGTTAATTTATAAATATTAATTACCTAATATATTTGTACATTTTATGATTTTTTTTTTGAAAATTAATGAAAAAATAATAAATTACATTTGTAAAATATTGTTGATAGAGTAAATACTAAATATACCTACATTGTATTTGTTAATTTGATTTATAATAACCGTTTATCATAGATCAACGATTATAAGTTGTTTTTTTTTTTAAATCTTTTTCCTGGGATACTTTTACATGGGAACCTTGTAACTTGTGCTTAGCGTATTATTGAATTATGATGTTAATTTTATTTATGAGTTATTTTTATCAGACAAAGATATATACTTGTCACATTTTTATTTAACGAAAACAACCCCATGATGGTCAAAAATACTAGTAATACATGGTCATCAAATACCTCATCAAATGCGAGCAGTAAGAATGAAGTTGTATTTGTAGCCTTTTTAGACTTGTCGATGTTGCTACAGCCAAATTGTATAATACATTGTTCGTATCTAATATTTGTCTTAACCTGAAATCGTGAATTTATATTTATAGGCACTGCAATAAGATGTTTTTCCATCGTTCATAACATTGACGTAGAAATTGTAAAACAAAACGAATTGTCATTCAAAAACTTTGACCTTGGTAAACTTATAAAGACAAATATCGAAGAAGATTTGAAAAAGGTTTTGAATCATATTTTTATACATAATACATCCCTAAGCTATTATACATTAATGATAAAATCTTTTAAGACTTTGGTTAATAATGTATAGTGTTTTGTGTTTACTGTTTTATTAATCTTAATTTATTTACAGTGAAATACACACACATGTGTGTGGTACTAGGTGTATATTCAGCACAGTTTTATTTACCATCTGGTAACGTACATTAAATATGTATTAGGTATTATAGGTATATTATTACTTATTGGTTATTAACAAGGATATTTAATACCTTGCATATAATAGTAGGTACATCATTACTTATATTGTTACCTAGCGACGGGAGTAACCAAATTGGTTTCCGTTTGAAAAAGGTATTTTATTAAGTTGAGCCGAATTGGTTCCCGTTTAAAAAGGTTTATTAGGTTGAGCTTAATTGGTTCCCGTTTGCGTTCAGGTAAAATTGTTATAATTTTAATTTTTAATAATTGGTAAAAAATATAAATTAGATAGTATAAAATATAAAATATGTAGATAAATACACTCTATAGTCTATAGTATTTACTATAAAATTGTAATATATTGTTATATTGGAAGTTTAGCAAATTATCACTGATATTCCGAAAGATTAAGATAACGAATTAGATATACGTACTTAAATCGCTGTAGGTAGGTATATCGTATAATATATCCAATGTACAATGTACGTATGACAAAATATTACTTGTTAGTGAGCACTGCAGTGCAGTCTCGAATAACACATCATCGTTTATACTCAATACTCGTACCTATAATAATATAACCTATATAAATTTGTTTTCGCTTTAACATCGGTCGTATTTTAATTTCTATTTTTTAATTTTAATTTTTCGTTATGATGGAGCCTATATGTTTAGTGAAAAGGGAATTAAGTTGTTGATTATTGACAATTACAAGTTCGGATTCCAAAAAAAGAACCATGCAGAGGATAACATACAGAGGTGGATATTTACAAAACGAAAATGTAGAGCTTTCATGAAATTGAATGGAGATTGTTATGTGAAGAAATCTTAATACATAACCACGAAAGGGAAGGTACACTTTTACGACACAATTGACAAATTCATTAAAAATAAAATGTGACAAACTTATCACAGAGCGTCCATGTACAAGTATACTCAAGGAGAAGATAGCTTCAAACAGTAATAGTGAGTCACTAATTAAACATGATATTAACAGAGTGATTAAAAATATGAATGCTGCTAAATTAAGAACAATTCCTAAGTTACCTTCTAATCTTGAAGAACTCCACAAAAGTGTCAGAGAATATTCCCTAATAGCAATAATCTCGGGACTCGGAGAAAACTTTATTTATAACAATGATTCTGTCAACAATATAATTATAACATTTACATGCACTCAAAACTTGGAAAAACTCAAGAAAGTCACTTCGTTATTTGTCGACGGAACATTCTAAAGTTGTCCTAAGCAATTTAATCAACTTTATCAATTATTTCTATTTTTATCATGGTACAAAATAATTATGTTCCTGTCGTATTCAGCCTACTCCCAAACAAGACTTTAGACTACTGACACTTAAATTTTTGCATCAAATGGCAAAATATTTAACAGTTGACGTGGTTTTCATTGATTTTGAAACAGCTATTCATAGTGCCAAAACTTCACAGCTACAGCAAGTTACAGTTAGAGGGGTTCCATTTATGTCAGTCATAGTGGAGAAAAATTCAACAGTTTGATCTCTCTAATGAATTTAATTATAATGCTTCAGAGATCGGACAACTTCTGAAACATTTTTTTTGACTGCCCTTATTATCACCCGAAGACATCGGAGACTGTTTTTATAATGATTTGATGGCCATAAAACCTTGCTGCCCGAAATTGGATCAGTTCTTTGACTACGTGCATGACACATACATAATGATAGACATTACCTTTCCACAGACAATTTGAGCTAGATGTAACAAAAAAATTGATAGGATTCAGTGGCGGATTTAGCGTCAGGCAAAGTAGGCAGTTGCCTAGGGCGGCAAATTTTTAGGGGCGGCAATTTTAGGCCAATATTTTATTGAGAATACTCTAAGTTTCTTTTTGATTTTCTAATGTACGGTGATTACTCTGAAGGATGGAAAAAAAATGTTTAATATTTAAGTATAATAATATTCTTGTTAATATAATTTCTTCTTTATTTTATAATACATAACAATAAACGTCCAAGTAAATTATAGAACGACTGCCGGAACGTAGATCTATTATCTAAATACCAAACATGGATAACATATTTCGTTAATTTGGTTTTTTGCTAAGTCGTAATAATTATTAATAATCGCTCGTGGTTCGTTTGATCGCACGGCGTACACACACTACACGCACAATACATACAGATATGATATATTTAATACGAATACGGGTGATGATCGATTCGTATTGGAACAATAGTTGAATAGTCTAATTATAAACCAGTCACTGTGAATATTTTATATAATATACTCGTACGTACTATGCATTATGTGTACAAAAATAAAACTATTTCTATCCAAAAGATAAAATTATGTAATAATTGTTTATTTTTCTTCGGGACTATGAAATAGAGGGTGGCCGAGTAAAAAATAGGTTTATTCTGATTAGACATTCGATTATTTTCAACACAACATTCAAGGCGGATAGACTTCATATTCGGTTATTAGTATACTACTTAAATTACTGGTAAGTAAACACTATATTTTATAAACACATTTTATTAGAACAGTTTATTAACATAACTGCCATTAATTATTGTTTAGTATCAGTTTTTATGATTTATTTTTTTAGTACTTATGTTAAATAAGTACCTATTTAAAAATTCGTTTTCTCGTTGATAAGTTTAATGGGGCGGCAAAAAAAAATTTGCCTAGGGGCGGCAATTGTGTAAATCCGTCTCTGATAGGATTACAAAGTGTTGCGAATCGTTCCATTTAAAGCTGAATAAAGAATATGCCCATTCTAATATATTGTATTTTATGGAGACTTTAAACAGCATTCAGACATTAAAATTAAAATTATATAAAATTTCGAAGTAATAATTCAATAAAACTTACTAGCAAACAGGAATGAAATAAGTAAATAACAAACACTTGGAAAATTGTATGACTGAGTACATTCATGAGAATCTTACGCGAATTGAATATTAAAAGAAAGTTTGCTTCAAGTTTTCAAATCAACGATTTTAAATTGTATTTATTATATTTTATTATTTGTATTTAGTACGCCTAAGTACCTAACCTAAGTATTGACTAGTTGACTTCCAAATCAACGATTTTAAATTGTATATATTATATCTTTTTTTAACATATTTACATTAACGCACATTTTTAACCAATCCTACTTTAAAGTTGACAGTCTTAATTCCTAAGTCTATACAATTGAGAAGAAAAATGTGCTTAGTCAAACGGGAACCAATTCGGCTCAACTCAATAGAATACTTTTTTCAAACGGGAACCAATTGGGCACATGGGGTTGGGGCTCGGGAATCGATTCGGTCTAGCCCTAGCGACGACTAATTTTAATCACTTATCAAAATATCATATTAAGAACATATTAGAACAATATTTTAACTAAATAATTAAATTTACATTAAAATATTAAATTTTACAGAGTGAGATTATTTATGAATGAAAGGAATCTGTTGTAAATCATACATGAACCCGTTATTATTGTGGTAATCGTCATAGGCGCAATTAAGGGGGGCTGGAGGGGCTAAGCCCGCTCAAAAACATTCAAAGCCCCCCCAAAAACCATGCAGAACTTTATATCATTATATTGCTAAGTAAAAAAAAAATATAAAATACATTTTTTTAATTTTATTTTAGTAACACAATATTATAAAGCGCACCTAGTATAATATACTAGGTATATAATATATACCTAGGTATATATATTTTATTATGACCTATGAGCCCGCCGCAGTTGTTTGTGATAAAATATTTTCCCCGAGCCCCGACTATATTTTATATTATAGCTTCTATTCTCGGACCTCAGTCGTTATGCGAGTGCCCGCACTTGATAAAAATGATAACTTTAAAAAAGTGCATTTTTTATAGACGAAGAAGGGTGGAAAAAAAGTTTCTAAGAGGCAGTGATTGAAAAATATATGGGAGAGACTGAAGCCCCCCCCCCCAATTTTTTTACTCTAATTGCGCCTATGGTAATCGTGGTGGGACACATGTAAATAAATTATAATAGAATTATAATTTCGTAGTGTAAAAACTAATTTTTAAATTTGATAACTATTAACTGGCAAAGACAATGGATTGTGGATGGGTATATTTTTAAACGATTCAATTTAATAATTTTCTTATGTTAACACGTCACAACTCAAACAAAAATATACACATTGAAATATTGAATGATTAAAATATTACATTTGTTTAGCCTAAATCTAGAATACCAGTGCTAGAAACGTCTGACAATGGAGGAGTGTCCAGTCAAATGGCAACCGAATGGACATTTCCTTTTGTAGTTGTTGACATTTCCGTGGCTTATTCACTTTACGATCAGTATTTAAAATATTTAACAACAAGGTGAAAAGTTGCGATAACGTTATATTAACATAAATTTATTCAATTCATTATTCATCATTGTAATTACTTAATTGTGTATTTTATAGTCAGATCACTCTGATGCAGATGAATCTTATTTCTGAAAGCCCACAAGTTGTAATATGTAACCAGTCAAAGTTAAATATGTATCAAGAAACTTTAAAAAACATCATAGAAACATTGATAAATAAGGTACAAATAATATCATATTAAAACTATGGCGTAGAGCACAAGTTAATGTTATATAATAGTAACTTTTTTTGTAAAATTAGTTCAGTTAAACCGGCCTATACATTTTGTTAATATTTAAAGTCAATTTTTTATGATTAAATAATAAACATTACATTTATAGGATTCAGCAGTGAAACCTACGGTGGAATATTTTTAATTATAGGTTTACATTTTCAACTAGCAATTCCATAATTTAATTTATAAGTTGTTACACCTGTGCGGTATGCCATATTTTGTAATACGGCGTTTCAGTAATAATTATTAATTACAAATATTATTTATTACGTTATTATTTGCCAATAACAATTAGTCGGAGAGAATTAATGATCAAAACAGTGTAGAAAGATACGTTAACGAACTTAAAATGTCTGGAACTTACGAGTCAATGCATTCGTCGTTGTTCGGCGAAATCCAGTGGTATATTCGAGACAACTATGGTAGTCCATTGATCGGTGAAACGACTCAGGTAAATATTCAATAATAGTTCGTATCTCGTAAACCGTCATTAATGAATTTTCATCAAATGAAAATCTAAAATCCTAAAATGCACAAAATACACTACCTACAGTTCTGTTTTTTTTTTGTAAAAATATTTGGTTTTACTTTTTTTTATATAAATGTAATTTAACCAGGATAATGGTTATACAGTATACACAATATATACCATTTACGTCTGTCTTCAGCCGTTATGATATGTTGGAGTTTGTGAATAAAATTCTAAAAATATATAGACAATATCATAATATACACAAGCAGTAGGTATACAATATGTGTTATTAAATATCTTTGTTGTAGAGTTTAGTAAATCGTATTTTCATGGATCTGGTGGACAAAATGAAGAAAGCAGTGGAATCATTCGAGTTTCCGCAATCTGGCGATGTTGATAACTTATTACAATTTGATCGTGTGAACGTTTACGCCAGAGAAGCGGACGAGATGGAACAGGCGGAACGTGCCAAAATATTTTACTTTGACGTAAGAGCATCTCTGATGAAAAAAAATTAGGATAACGACGCGTTTTAACGTCCGTCCATTTCAGTTAAACTCTACAGCTGGTGCGAGGTGTAACCCGAACTACTGGTTATTATATGCTAGTTTATGCTCAAGGCGACTAGATTTCGATACGGCTTTGGAGTATGTCAAAGAAGTGTTACTAGTCGACAGTGGCAACCGAATCGGGCGAGTTTAACAGGGCTATAAACTAGTATAGTTACTGTCACCGTAAAAAAAAACACTCGTTCATAATATACCAAAACTTAAAAAAAAAAAAACGAAATCGACTGACAAAAATCTAGCACATAATTTTTATAATCGTCACTTTCAAAAAAAAAATAAAAATACGTTGATATTTATTCCGTCCGTATTTCGTATCGCACTAATGAAAAATATTCGAATTTTTTCGTCGTATACATGAAATAAAACAACCGACTTTCTTCGTAACAAATTTATTTGCTAAAGGTACAGATATATAATTTTTTTTTTCCATTCGATCAGTGCGTACTCTGTAGGTACCTACGTCCGTAAATAAGTCAATAATTCCCAGATGCAAATTCACTGAAATTAATATAACCTCTGGTTGCGTTAATTCTAATTCCTTATTATTATTTACTCAGCAATAACTTTCAAATCACATTGCAATTCAGTCATGCGGTTGCCCTAAAAATGTCAATACTTATTAAACGGTTGATACTATCAGTAATATTACGTAGGTACATAAAAATCAACAATTTTACAATGTTCAATATTATTATAGTGCCGTTATAATTACAATATATTATGCCATTTTATATTGATGTCATTTTCATTCAAATTTCAACTGTTGATACATTTATTGAGATAATAAAATTAATGAATTTATAATTACTTCCGTCATACGTGTTGACGTAACTACAGGTATTTAATATATATTTTCGATATAAATTCGTTTAAAAATATTTCAAAACTCATGATTTCATTCTGTTTAGTCAAATTAATTACAATTACTCATAATGCAAAAAAAGTTATAAGGGTTGAATTAGTTAATAATTTTTTTATTATTCAGATTATTTTTGTATGCTGCAATACAGTTGACCATTCACGAGGACAACAACAATGGCGAAATCGTGTTGAAATCTTTGATAATGAGTCACGGAGACTTCAGCGAAGTGTACGCCTTGCTCAGTGTTCACTATTCAATACTGAACATGTATGAATCTAGCTACATCATGCTGCAAAGGGGTAATTATAGTATAGTTAATTTATTCTATGTACCTATATTACTGTGTGATGAATTGGAAGGAGAAGTAAGATTTATTGTTTATATTCATACGAATAAAATGTTGTGTGTAAATTATTATAAGTATAATATTTATTTAGAAAATATTATAATGAAATTATTATATTATTGCTATTTAAAATCACTAAATAGATTAATTTATTTAAAAAATTGATATTAACGATCATCTTATAAGTAAATTTGTGTTTTATACTTAGATATTATGTTTTTAGAACAATAAAAAATTAATAAAAATTACAAATTACCGGTCTATTGTACTCAACATACCTATATGATCTAAATTGTTAATCACTTATAATATAATAACATATATTTAAAAAAACATATAATTTATTTGTAAATAGACTTACAATATAAAGATAGACTTACAATATAAAGATAGACTGCACAATATAAATAGACATGCCTCTTATGTATTAATTTTAATAAATAACAGAGAAATAAGCCAATAGTAAATAGTAGGTATAGTTAAATTAATTAATTTAAATATTAATTATTAACTTGGCAGTTAGGTATAAATGGTAAGTATTTTCAGAAAAAAAAAACCTTAGAAAACAAATAAAAAGCCGCCAGCTGCTGCGTGCAAGTATCTAAAAAATGTAGACAAACCATATCCCTACCCCTACAGAATAGTGTTATAAAATCATGAATATCTTCAATATATCTTCATCTTAAATTATTTGTGTATCTATAAAAAAAATGATTAAAAAAATATATAGTATTTTAAATTAATGGTACGAAATCCTAATAAACATGTTTATATCATGCATAATACATATACGAGTATTATATATAATGTATATATGACAACTAATAAATATAATAAAATATATATATAATATTCTATCTTTCCAATTCCTATTACATTTACATAAATTGAGTCTAAAAAATATTTAGGTGATTTCTAGTTTATTAATTATTACTTTCTTTAAACATCTTGTAGGTACCTAATAATAAAACTAAATTGCTCCAAAATGTTCATTTTTTCAAACACCCTAATTATTTATGTATTGATTAATTAATTTTTTCAGCTGAAAGGTGTGTTGAAGTAGACAAATTTGGAAATAATGATCTTATACTCAAAAATCTAATGAGTTGGACACCAATAAGTCATGACAACGATCCTTTAATTAAATGTGTAATTTTACTATTAAAATTCGAATTAGTAAAAGTCAGTTAAAATACAGTATATCAATGAATATAATGGAATTTACATTTTCATTATATTTTTAAGTTGGCGACACATTGTTTAAAATTAGTGAAAAATCAAAATGAACAGTACCATTATTACATGGCATTGTGTGAGTACAAAATGGGAAATCATTTAGCAAGTTTAGAACATTTGAAAAATGAAAAATTAATAGAAAAATATGTAAGTAGTAAGTAGGTATATTCTAATATTTACTATATTTTTCATAATATTATCATATTATTGTACCAAGTTACTATTTTATATTATATAAATTATAATTAGGTACCTATACTAACCTACTATACAAATGTACCAACTAGGTACCTATACCTACTGAATAAACATTTAAAAAAATAAAACATGAATTTGTTATAGGCAGTATGAATAATGATTTACTTACGTTTTAATTTTTATCTTCTTTAAAGAACAACTTTTCGGAGCTGCAAATTGTAATTATTATAATTCTAAAGTTATCAAAACTTTCCTTTAAAATAAAAAAAAAATTAATATAAACATCAAACATTTTAAATACTATAATTTGATATCACTATAAATCATGAACGCGTTATAACAAATAGGTGTATAATTAATTTCAATAAATCAAATCAAGCTTGCTTATAGCAGTAGTTTGGTTATAGTATATTATTTTAATATTGATCTTCTTGGAATCTTTTTTTTTTTACAGAAGAAAGTAACTGACGCATTAAAATTTCTTAACGATATAGAGTTAAACGAACGGCTAGATATTTTTGAAAATGACTTGCTACACATAATATATTCCGAATCCCCTTGTGAAGAATTACATTTGGTCTACTTAAAAGCAGCTATGCATTGCTACAAAAATAAATGTTATATCAAAGGAGCGGAAATTTGTCAAATCGCTTGCACTGTATTACGCACTCCAGTGATACTGATATTGTTAGCCAAATGTTTGATTCAGGTAATTTTTTAGTTTAATTTAATAAATAAGAATATTTGTATTTTGACAAAAGGACACGTATGATCTTAAATTAGTTTTATTATACCAAAAACCTCATAGAAAAGTGTCGAAGAATGAATATAAATAAAAACCTGTAAATCCGTATTAAATTATTAATTAGACGCATTTACATACGACGTCGTACGTTAAATTTTAAATTTAACATTCAATACATATTATTCTCACTTAGCAGCTTAGCATAATTTCTGACGAAAATGTGTAATTTAATATATGTAAGTGTAGGTATACATCATACAGTAAAAAAATGTCTAATGAATTAATTTTGAGTCTGCAAGCAGACGTTTCTTAATAATCTATTCTAAATATACTATATTTTTATCTATACATTTTTGTAAGTTAAATATTAATAAATTCTAATAACAATAGGTTATTAGTTATTAGGTCATCTAATGTTTCAATTTATAATCTATGCGAAAGAACAATAGACTATTACGATAACGAATTGTAATATTTAATTACTTGTTACTTCCTGTGCGAGTTTTAATTATTAATGTGGAAACTTAATTATTTAGTTTTATATTGACAGTAAAACGCACATGGAACCTATAAAATGTATATAATATATTATATATACATACATATACAGATAATTCATTATAATTATTGTATAATATTTTTTAAGTATATCTACAATACATGCGTTAAGCTTATAAGTACCTATCATCCAACAATGTTTAATACTGTATACAAAACGTTCATATATTGTTATTTGTTATAATATCAGAAAATGCATTTTCAACGTTCACGCATTGCCCATTTGAGCGCTGGTATTTTTTTCACCCTAAAATTGTCACACGTCATTTGAGCATCGTCGTTTGGTATTAACTCTTATTCTTATCAACTAACAATATTATTAATTTTTAATTTCTTGCCGTTGTAATTTATGTTCGGAATATTGTACTTCAGGTTTATATCAATTTTCACTTTTAAATATAATATAATACTATTAATACTTACATTGTTCGTTATTATTTGTTCTTAAAGTTACAGTGCATATTGTGCTCACTGAAAATCGTCACGTTTTTTTGTCCAGATTTAAGAGTTTTAATTAACTGACACTTATACCCATCATCTATAAAAAATACTTTTTCCTGTTGTTGCTAAGATGATAGAAATGTTTGGGGGCCGGGGGGGAGTCTATCAGTTGAGGCAGAATTAGTCATAACTAATTAGAAACGACTTGGTACCTATACTCATGTGAAGAGTTATATGATACAATTAAAAACGAACAAACTAAAATTAAAGTTCGTATACCTTTAAAAATTGATTATTGATTGTTGTAATCATAATAATCAATCATCAAATAATATCTTGTAATATTATGAATTATTATTATAATAATTAATATGCAGCCATGCAAGTGAAACATATTTTTGGCCAAAATATTAATTTAAATTATATTTAAAAATAATGTGTAATCGGTACCTATTACAATATTTTAATATATTAAATACGAATTAAACAATGCAAATTTTATTTGCAATAATGCAATTATTTTTGCCTTTCGGCTGGTATTTCAGGTCCATTTCCCCAGCCCCGCCATATTGGAATTTCGAAATTTTTTTTTTTTCATTCGATTGTGCTACGTTAGTGCCGTTTGTTCTACTCGGTCCCGCGTTTGTGCTGACTTCCTAGCCCTGTGAAAATCAAATTTTAAGTATAGCGGGGCTGAGGAAATGTTAGCCCCGCCATATTGGAATTTCGAAATTTTTTTTTTTTCATTCGATTGTGCTACGTTAGTGCCGTTTGTTCTACTCGGTCCCGCGTTTGTGCTGACTTCCTAGCCCTGTGAAAATCAAATTTTAAGTATAGCGGGGCTGAGGAAATGTTAGCCCCGCCATATTGGAATTTCGAAATTTTTTTTTTTTCATTCGATTGTGCTACGTTAGTGCCGTTTGTTCTACTCGGTCCCGCGTTTGTGCTGACTTCTTAGCCCTATGAAAATCAAATTTTAAGTATAGCGGGGCTGAGAAAATGTTAGCCCCACCATATTGGAATTCATTTTCATAAATAGCTCAAAAAGAGTCGAAAATAGTTTTAAAATCTTACCAAAAAAATATTTGGTGAACATTTCATGAGTCTACGGTTATTTGTTTTTGAAATACAACAAATTAAAAAATCGATCAATAATTTACCACTGATTATCAAATATCGTAAAAGTTATTAGTTCAAACGCTCATAAAAAATTAATGTTAGTTTCCGGTAAACTTTTTTTTGAACAGTTTAGTTGAGTGCGGTACCTATATAGGTTTTGGCTGTGTACTTTTTCTGTTGTATAAAGATTTTGAATTTTTGAATATTTTTAAACTGGATCATTTATCAACTCAATAGTGGGTAAATAAATAACTATTTTAACTATAATATTATGTAGCTACGTCTTTACAATCATCACTGAATATTAAGTGAAGATTGAATTTAAATCAATGATTAAAACGATTGACTTTTGTAATTGACCGACTTCGACCTTATTTAGTTTTTAAAAATCAAAATAGTTAGGGCCGTTACCCCAGTAACCTGTTACCAGTAACCAGTAACCAGCTGACCTAATAATTAATTTATAATTCAAATAACTTAATAATATTCATAGTAAATATAAAAGTATCTATCACAATAACATTGTATAATAAACGAATCCAACAAAGTTTGTCAGAAATATATAATAATAATAATAATAATAGAAATACATAATAGTAATTATAAAATAAAAATAATGATAATACCCTTCATAATATGAATTATATTATATAAATATTAACAGTTGAAACAATTTAATTATATGTATAGTTACGCTAATAGTATCCATCACAATAACATTGTAGGTATAATAAATGAATTTAACAAACTTTGTAAGAAATATATTATAATAATAAAAAAACATAATAGTTATTTAATAATAATTCTAGTTCTTCCATAAAAAAGTAATAGTAAAATATAAAATTAAAATAACGATATCCATGTCCTCCATATATTATTTAAGTATTATATTGTAAATGTACATATTATGCATTACATTTAAATAGTGTAAATAATCATTTCTGCATTAACAACTATAGTGTCTTTACATTTTTGTGGGATATTGTTATAATCATCATATAATTCCCATTTGTTTGACCCTTCTCGAAAACAATATGACGTATAATGACCAATACTATCCACAGTTATATTTGTTGGTTTTAAAAAATGTATGACCCCACGAAGTTTGTATATTTGACGTTTAATTGTGATGAAAGCTGGTATATCTTTTAATTTTATTTGTATTCCTGAAACATATGAATTTTGATCTTGAATTACCTCAACATCTGGGTTGTCGATGTCAGGAATTTTTGCAAAATCTATGTTGGGCGTGGTCATTATTAAAATGTGTTCTCCGTACCTGTAACGCGTAAATCAAATTACATTTGTAATTACTAATTAGTAATAATAAAAGAGTTATTCTAAAACAAACATGAGGACATATTCTTTATACCTTTTCTATTTAAATTGTTCCTATCAAATTGTCAAATGATGTCTTATAATATTCTGATTTATAAGAAATTATCTTTAAATAGGTACCTACTTATTTATTATATATATTATTATGATTTTTTATGAGTGCGAAATGTCTAAGTTTTTACTTATTTATAAACTCCCGAAAGCTTATAGTATCAAAGATGAGATATTATGTATAAATATAGTATATATATGGATAAATAAAAGTGAAGTTAAATGTACACAGAACATATCAAAAATAAAACTTAGGTAAATATAATGTTATATTATATATTTATATAAAAACGTTTATAATGGCTATAAAATATAGGTATTCTTTATAAGCAGAAGGAGGTCAAGGATATTTTAGTTCTCTAGAATATATTAAGACTTCCTTGAAATTTTATATTTTTTAAATTAATCATCTATAGATAAATAGTGAATACCCATGTATATTAGATATTTTGTCTGCCTACAGGATTAAGTATAGGTATGCCTAAATTATCATATTATATTTTTAAATATATGTGAATTACACAACTTGAATAGAAAATTAGTAAGTCCAATAATTTTTAAATGGCTGTAGTTTACTATTTTATTTTATAAGAAAAAAGATATTCTTACTTGTATGGATTAGTTAAACGACGATTGCATTGGATACATTTGTTTACATTTCCGTCAGCCATGAGCAGCACGTTTAGATTTTGAATATCATTCACATTTACTAGAATTGGCTGCTGTCTAATTTGTTGACGTGGGCAACTGATACAATTCTGGGTGTCCACGCGAGATGGCCATGTTTCTAATAAATTTCTCGCCATGACTTCTATAGTGGTGTCAGCTTGAATGCAGATCAACTGCTCTGGAAGTTCTTTCAGATTACATATTTTTTTTAATATCATTGACCGTTTTCGGTATGTCTGTACATTAATTCCGTCTTTAATAGCATTAATTATAAGTTTAAAAATTATATAATCATTATTGGAATTAACGAACTCAGCATACAATTTACTGTCACAGTAGCTTGTACATAATATATGAATGATAGAATCAAATGAGCATGTATTGGAAGAAATGTAAAATTTACCATCAATCTGGATACTTTTGAGGTTTGAGCGGTTTCCATTTTTAAGGATTCCAATTACGGGAGATTTTGTTTTGCTGGAATCATTGTAAAACAATATTGTTGGATCTTTTTGTAAATAATTTGACCTCTTTTTATTTTTTTCTGTCTCTCCTCTCCAGTTTTCTTCTGCGTTTAGCTCATTTCTCGCACGATTGAATGACTTGCTCTTACATTGGTGACAAATCCGTTTCTCACCAAATCCTTCTTCTTCCCCAAGTATATTATAAGAACATCCTTCTATTATGTGCACAGCTTTCTTACATAAGTTACATCTATGTGCACCGGTTGGTTTATGACCGTTAATACAAACCATACAAATGTTATCATTTCCAGTACACAGTGTTTGTATTGGCTGGTTTTTGTCATGGTGTAAATATTGTGGTTGACTTAAATTTTCTTCAGTTTGAATTTGTATATTTTCATCAACATTTATTGTAGGTACATTTTCATCTACAGCTTCCATTTGTTTATCCTTATAAACTTGCATTTGGGAATTTTCTCCTAGTTCCATTTGTATGTTTTCATCATCATTATTTAATTGATTATTAATATCTGATGCAACTAAATTCATTGTACCTGTAAAGGAGTTGATGTGAGTTGTTAAAAATCGATCAATTCTTAATGGAAGTGTTGTATGTTTAAAAACCCTATTCTTTAAGTCATTGAATTGACTTTCAGATGATGCACTTGTTTCTGTAATGTTACCAAAACCAAAAAAAGGAACCATCACAGCTGTCCAACATGGCAAAAGTTTACAAAATTGCAATAATCTTTTTGCAATTTTAATATTGTGTTGATGATTATCTCGATCTCCATGATCATGTATTTTGGACAAATCAACACAATTATTATACAAAACTTTAATGTTCTTGAAGTATTCTGGATCAGAGGTTAAAATATTTATATCTGAATCTGAATCTGTTTCATACTCGTTTAATTCCAAAATGTCTTCATTATTTAGGTAATTTGGTGTATCTTCAATTGATGCAATTTTTATTTTTAATTCAGTTTTATACCGTTCACATAAGTTCAATTCTCCGGGAATTTCATTTATCCCTTCTGTTTCAAACAAAGCCACAATAAAAATTGATTTAAGCAAATACTTTATTGTTTCAAAATCCTTTGACTGAATAACGAGAGCAATTGATCGTAGATAGAAATTTTTAATTCTATATGAAGATGTCTTGAATTCTGGCCATGAGCTTAATAACTTCATTATATGGTTAAAATCGTTCCTGATCATAGTCGTCGGAAGTGGATACTTATTATCACCGATAATCCAAGATGAACATACATCTAAATACATATTAAGTGAACTATATTGAGTAAATGATTTCACTGACGCTGACATTAATGCCAAAGATTGATCCATAACTACAATTTTTGGACAGGGTGCACCATCTTTAACCCATTCTTGTAACCAATGAGATATACTATTAGTATCATGACGCTCAGATAACATATGAGCTACTCCATATTGTCTTTTGATAGTATGATCCATTACAACAACTTCGTATAAAAAAATATTCGCCGTTTTTCGACCAGAAATAAGTACAGGACGCTGTACAACTCCTCCGGTTGCATCAATACTAATAACTGAATTTACATTTTGTTTGATATATTGCCTGTAAACATTTAATTCATTACCAGACCAATAATGAATGTTAAAACGGTCATATCCTATATCACGTATAGTGGAGTTTAAATTATTTGTTTGCTTTAAAATAGAAATAGAAATTATTGGATCTTTATGAAGATTCTCTTTTTGTAATGCTTTAGATTTTAATATTCTAAGAGAATTTAATGTTGGTATATGACTAGGCTCTTTTTCTCCAAAATGCATGATTTCTTTTGCTTCTATTCTTTGTATGTAGCTAGCAGACATATTTTCTTTTAACAACTTATTTTTCAGCTCGTCTCGTTTTCTCCCTATCAGTCTTCTTTTATTTGTTCCTTTACACTCTTTATACATTCCTTCATACTTACATGAAATTACAATAAGTGCATTTTCACCAGGTTCATTTTCCATTTCTCCAGTGAACCTACTATTACAAGAAGAACAACTACCAACAATTTTTAGATACATATTTCCTCCAGGATGCACATTAGCTCTTTTGTATGATATTGCACACGGAATGCCACAATGTGCATGAAAATGTTTATGTATAACATTGGTCCATTGATATGGTTCAAGTACAAAATAACTTTTTTGATTTGTTTTTGAAAATGTTTTATTCTGGCAGTTGTATTTCGTTATTTTAGGTCCAATCTCTTTCCATTCGTCTACAGTCAAAACTATATTAAACTTCATGATTTCTTTACATTCATTGCTTTCGATTTCAGACTCTTCAGATGAAATGTTCTCAATCGTTAGCTCTGTATGTTCTTTTGCTAATACTTGTTGTACATTATATCTATTATTTTTAACAATAGTATATAAATGCTTCGGTGTTAAAAGGTTATTTAATGTGTTGGCTATTTTCGTCCAACTTAAATCACTTGGAACAGGTATACCACTTTGAAAAAACATTTTATTGTCTTCAATAGCTTTAATGATATCCGTAGGTAATACTGATGGAGGTCGAGGCATAGTTAAGTCCTAAGAAAATATGTTAATTATTGTTAATTTTTATAAACAACATAAACCAATAAAAATAAGTGTGAAAGTAAAAACCCTAGTGAATAAAAAGTTTAAATTAAATCTAAATTTATTACAAAATTAAAAATGATAAAAAATAGCCATATTGAATAAAAAAATTATAGGTCACATAAATAAATCTAATTTGAGTATTAACAAACCATTTGAATAGATATGTTAGGCCTAGTTAAATAATAAAACCAAAATAAAATAAAAATGCATAAAAATTTATATTAAAAACCTAAATCGAATAAAAAAAAAAAATCTAAATTGGATAAAAAAGACGTGCGTGAAGTTGGCCACCCCACCATGACCATGTCTGAAAATTTTGTTATCATTTTGCAAAAAATTTTCAAATTTTTGAAAATCAGTTTTCAGATTTTGTAAATAAATTCCCTGCCATGTTTAAAAAAATAGGACTGGAGGCTTAACTTTAAACAACCCTTCCCATCCAAGTTTGTCCTACCATCATCATACTTGTACCAATATTTAGCAACATATTAGTAGCTAATTGCAATTTTCTTGAGAAAAATTTAAACTTTTTTATTAAGCATTATATTTTTTTATTTGTTTTATTTGTTTTCTATTTTTTTATTAAACTAGTGTTTTTTATGTGATTTAGATTTTATTTATTCAACTATTATTTTTTTATTCTATATGTATTTTTTACTCAAGTTAGACTTTTATGAAATATATACACTGTATATTTACATATTACAACATAATATATTACAATAAGTTGTAAATCATTTTTTTTTAAATAAATATAACCAATATGGTACCATAATCTGCAACTGATTCGCAACCTAAAAAATGTATTTATTTTAAAAAAATCTAATTATAATAAAGAAATCATAGTTGAATTTATAAAATCTAAATAAGATAAAAGCCTAGTTTAATAAAAAAAACATTAATTTAATTTAAAAAAAGGTGGGCAAGTGGGTGTCACTCTGCTGTACAGTAGGTTACAAGTGAGTTACTGTAATGGATTATGTTATAAAAAATCTTTATTTAATATAAAATTTAAGTAGAATAAAAAATTCTGTTTTCAATAATAGTCTAAATTTGATAAAAAATCTTTTATTGTTAATAAAAAAAAATCTTTATTTTGAATAAAACAAATATAAATATAAATAAAAATCGTAATATTGTCTGTTTGATAAAAAATCTAAATTCAATAAAAAAAATCAATGTGATAAAAAAAAATCAATAGGTATTCCATCAAAAGCGGTTTGATAAAAAATCTAAATTTAAAATGAAAATTTTGGAAAAAAAATGTGATATTTATTTTATAAAAAAATAATTTGAATAAAAAAATGTTAAATTAAAATATAGGTAAATAAAATATTCAACTAGGTATTTTTTGTTCTAATAAGATCTTTTTACTAAGCAGATATTTTTATTTAAATTAATTTTTTCATAAATAATTCAACTAAGATTAATTTTATATGAGATTTTTTTTTTATAAAATCAATTTTTTATTAAAATTATTAAAAAAAAATCTATGTTTTATATAAAATATATAATGAATTTTATTCGATAAATAAAATTTAAAATGTTAAAAAAAATCTATATAAAATTATAAAATCTATATCGAGTTGTCTAAAAAATCCCGAAATTAACCTTTTTTAACTTGATCATTTGTTTTATATTATATACTGATTATGGATTTAAGAATGAATATATTTAAAAATTGAGGGGGCTTAAATTAAACTAGGGGGAATTTCCTTGGCACCCACGGTAAATCGGCTATAAGTCGGGAACGGTGATGGAACAAACGACGAAATTTTCGGAACAAACAAGAACAAATGAAGAACAATCGAAAGCCCCGGGTTTAGTTCCAAAATTCAAAAGTGGGGGTTGCCAGGGAAATGGACCTGATGAATGTATTGATTTTACAATGATGTGGGTTTTTAATTTTTTTAATTTTTAAATTTTAAATTTTAATTTTTGTGTCTGTCATCACTCATCACCTTTTAGGACATTAAAAATGCTTTGATTTTCTTCAACAGTATCTTTTCTGATAGAAGTGCCGTGAAAAACAAAATAAAAATTAACGAAAAACGGGAACCGTAGATACATGAAATTTTGACTGATTGTTTATATTATTACCTATATTTTCTATATACCATACAATTTTGAAAATATTTTGACTTTTTTTAATCTGTTTACGGAAAATTTAAAATTTCAATTTTTTTAGTTTTTTTTTTTATGAATATCAATAAACTATAAAGTTTTATTGGTTGGGCCAAAAAGCTTGCACATTTAATACAAGGCTCCTGTTACATTGTTACAATAGCAGTTGAAGAATATTTAAAATACATTGGCACAATATTTTTTATAATCATTTAAAGTTCAAATTTAGACGAAATTTATCAAATTGAGTATTTACAAATTATGTAGTAGTTAAAAATTTATAAAATGTGCAACTTCTTTAGCGAAGGATTAAAAATTTAAAAAAAGGTTCCACGTAAATAGGTTATATATAAATCACTTTATTCACAATAATATACTTAGTAATATAAATATATCATAAGCTGATTGACCATCTTCACTCAGAATCGTTTTTCTTATACAATGATATTATATCATTGAATTCAAATTTAATACCATTCATTATACAGTGACCCACTTGCAACCTACTGTACAGCAGAGCGACACCCACTTGCCCACCTTTTTTAATTTTAAAGTGTATTTTGTGGGCTGCTTGAACTTGGCCCAATCATTCTTATTTTTTTTTGTACCTCAAAATGGCTAAATTGCAAATATTCATAAATAATACGCTATTGTTTGATACTAATTTCAAAATTAATGGACAACATGGGTAGTCCTACATCAAGATTAAAAAGTGGATTTTGTGGACAAAAGATTGACTCGCAAATTTTGAAAAAATTATAAATAGGTATTTAAAAAAATAAAAAATAAAAATTACACGATTTTAATAAATGTTTTACCATAAAAATTATAGTAAAAATCAGATTAACAAATTTGCTATTATGAATTAAAAATGTATTTATTTTTACCTATTTAAATAGTATTAAACATTTAAAATAAATCATTCTATAATCTATACTATAAACGTAGACCGTAGTGAGATGGTTTATAAATTTAATTTAAAAAAAAATATATTATTAATTAAAACATAAGTATTATTTTGTTAGTCTGTTCTTTCTTTTACACCCTGTACATGAGTAATATAATATCGAGTATGCAGACATGCAGTTAACCAAATAAATATGTCGAAGACTCAATATTCAAAATGTTTTATTTTATAAAACATAATTTTTCTAACAGTTATATAATATTTTATAACATATTTTTCCTAAAACTTGTTATTCTCACACAGTTACACATGACTCTGATACTGGCCTCAGTAGCCAGTACCAACAGAACTAGGAATACGTTAATATGTTAAATCAAAAAAATAAAACAATATTCATGGGAAATGTATTATTTTCTTTCGCATAATACTTGGATAGTTATAAACTGCACACGCCTCAGATAGAACATCGGGTTTATCTTATTACTTACTTGGGAATGATAAATTAGTAGGTACTAAAAACAGTCTTATGATATTTTAATATGCCAATTTTATACGATAAAAAAAATGAAAATTACAATCTGTTCCAAAGATTTTTAGTGCAATATATTATCATGTTATTACCAAAACTGTTTCTTCGATTCATGAATACAGAGTACCTTTATAGAAAAAAAAGCATGATTTTTTTTTCTAGTGTGATGGCCTCTGAACAATTGCTACATATCTTTTATCCGAGAGTATATAATTTCCCAGGAATAAATGATATCAAATTAATAAGCAAATGTAATTTTTACTTACCTTAGTCCTATAGTTGTGTTTAAAATAATATGACAATGAATATATTCAGGCACTATAAACTTTTTTGATTTTGTCAAACAATAAAAGTGTATACACGTTAGAAACAGTCAGTACTAGACGTGACGGTAAAATGACGATACTTTCTCAGTCCAATATAGTATTTAGCATAAACTCATAAACTATTGAGTGATTCATTTGATTGTTAGCTAATAATAACTATTGATATATATTATTGTTTTGTATACAAACGGTATTATCCTACATCATCCGGGAATTCCGGAAGACCGCTATTACCATAGCTTATGTTTTCCCAATGAAGTTCATAAAATACGATCAAAATAATTACTCGTCAACAAAAATATCTACATACTGGCATACACACCACATACATATTATAATAGCATAATAGGAATAGCTGGCCGTACACACGTAATCACTATTATTATTTATTAGTTATTTTTTTATTTGTGTATGTATTAAATTTATTTATTTATTTCAGCAAAATCAATATCATTATTTCAATACAATAATACAATAGTCAAATTACAAAAGTTAAATTACTACAATAATAGTGATAAGAGCTGATACGTATACCAACTGAGCAAGCTCGTTTCTGGTATACGGAAATGTATCTTGTACTCTTGTGAGTTATAAGTTATATAGGTACCTACTACCTAAATTAATTATTCAGATTCTTTAAGATACGCTATTGCACGCCGTTAATAACACTGCCGTCGTAATGTTTGTCCTGTACTGTACAGTGCACATCGACGAGTTACCATCGACATATTATTTCACAATAATACATTGATTTATATTTTATTATTATGATTGAGTACACAGTACTAAACTAGACGTAATAGGCTCATGGTGTCTAATGTATCGTTATTAAACAATTATAGTCATTAATCATTATCATTATTATTCCAACATAATAAATAATCATAGTAGGTACATACAATTTACAAACCAAATTGTGTTTAAATTATAATATAAAAAAATATTTAATCGTACCCTTAATCTTTATAAAATTGATTTGTTAGTGTTTTTGGTAAAATATTGGAGTCGAGAAAACGACTAGTATACCTACCTAAAAGCGTGGTATTTGTTTATC